GTATATGGCGGCTTTTGCTAGGAAGTTCAGGAAATTCTTGAAGCCGAAGGATAGCAGAAGTCCACTCTCTAGCAGAAAGTTACACCAGAAGTCCAAACCATCAGAAAGTAGTGGAGAGCTTCTCTGCTACAACTGCAGACAACCAGGGCACTTCAAAGTCAACTGTCCACACCCCATAGTCTCCAAAAGACAAGGCCAGGAAGGAGAAAAGAAATATGAGCACCGAAGAAGGAAGGCACTCATCACTGAACAACCAGAGAAGGACCCCCTCTCTGAGACAGAGTCCAGCTCGGAATCAGAATCTGATGAAGCATAATCAATCTTCTAATTAAGGAAAGAGATCAGCTGGAAGCTGAAAATGTTTCTCTTCTAAAGAGAATAAGAGAGATAGAGCCTCTTGAGATTAAGTACAAAGCTTACCAGAAGGCCCAGTCTTCCATGGAAAAGATTGTACTTGATCAACAAATTGGCACTGGTTTTGGTCTTGTTTATGGCTCAACAGAATCAGGTGAGCCTTCTGTAATGCCTAGCACCAGAGTTGCTAAGGCAGACAAGGTCATAGTGCCACTGATTTCTAGCCCCATTTGTCAGGCTGGTGTATCTGGCACCAAGGTTATTCATGAGAAAGTCAGACCAGAAAAGGAAAAGATAAAGGTTCAACAGAAACCCATTTTAAAAATTAATGAACCTGGCAGAAAACCTAACAACAGAAAAGGTTTTCAGAATACCAAAAATCAAAGACAAATCCATAACAGACAAACTCATGATAACCGTGTCAGAGATGATCACCAGAGAGGCAGATATCAAGAAAAAGTTAACTTTAGGCAGAAAAGGTTGGCTGGTCAACTTAAGAAGCCCAAAGTTAATCGTCCCTCTGATCTTGATAGTATATGGGACTTCTACCCAACTAAAAAGGCTATGCAGAAGTATGTAAATCGGAAGCATGATCCTCACAAGCATCTGCCCAGAAGTATGTAAATCGGAAGCATGATCCTCACAAGCATCTGCCCTGGTTGATTATGCTTCATCAGATTCTGATTCGAAATATAAAAATACTTTTCACTTTGATTTTTCTCAAAACTACTTCTTGAGTGGATAGGAACAGAAAACACTTCACAATGTTTTGACATTGATTTTCTTCACTCTGTCCTACAAAAGAAGAAGGAGAACTACAAAGGAAAGGCCATTCTTACTCATTTTGATGAGGAGGAACCTGTAAAAGCCTTAGCAGAACATGAGATGGTTACTTTTGATGAATGGTTGATTGAAAAGAAGCGCAAAGAATCCTTGATTCGGTTTCGTCACAGTAGTCAAGGAGAAGGAGAGCCATCCTCTGCGAATGATCTACCTTTAGCCATGCAGAAGCTAATTCAAGAATGGAGGGCATCTCCGTTCTAGGAAACCACACTTGAGGTAATCTCTAAATCCCCCTCTGTTCATACAGAACCTCAAATTCCTTCCCCTCCTAATTCACCACATCCAACTACACCGGTTGACTCCCCTCCATCATCTCCCTCACCTCCCAAATCACCACCATCACCCAAAATCACAACTCCCTATACCACTCCACCACAATCTCCTCAACAGAAATCCTCATCCCATAAGAAAACTCCATCTCAACAAAAATCCTCACCCCACCAGAAAACCCGATCTCCACAGAAACCCTCCCAACAGGAAACTCCAGAACAGAAAACCTCAACCCCTCATCACTCATCACCTAACAAAACCAAATCAGATTCACCTTGCAAACAGCAAACCCCTACAAGGAACCGCTCCCCTTCACCACCTCCATCCCCACAACCTCAGAAAGCCCCTCTTCTGGGAGTCTCCCCTCACCAGAACACCTCCCACCAGCAGTCGCCAATCATAATTGCTACTCCTCAGAGATCCTCTCAGCATTTTAAGGCTACCAAAATCAAGAGAAAGCCCATTATGAACGTTCTTTCATCTGACAGTGACAATTGCGGCTTTCTTACATCATCGATTGCTGGTGATCTGACCTCCAAGAAAAGGAAGACCCCACCTCCAAGCGAGCAGCAGACTGGAAGGTCTCCCTTACCAAAGGCCAGAGGTCTAGGAATGCCTGGCTTTGAAGAGGAGCAACCGCAAATTCCTTTCAACAAGTTTGTAGAAACTGTTGAAGATTTTGGAGGACGGATGCTGGATAACTTGAATAAACTGGTAATGATCAATGATACACATTATGAACATCTAACCCAGGTAAACACAAATCTTGAAGCTGGGTTACAACACCTCTCTGCAAAGGTTAAATCTCTAACCACAGCCTTCACCTCCTTCATGGAATCTTCCACTGCAAAAGGTAGATGCAGTCTCCAAGGAAGTGGATGGCATCAACTCTGTTCTTTACTATCATTCTCAATCTCTCAACAAACAGTATGAGAAGATTAAAACCATCTATGTGAACAGAGAAACCCTTCAGTGGACTCATGAAAAGGAGAGCGAGCAACTGCTAGATATTGAAGAGCTTTGCAAATCCCAGAAAGAGCAAGCATCTAATCTTCTTCAGAATGACAAGGAGAGATACCAGAAGATGGCACTCCTTGAAGCAAGCTCCAAGGATATACAATCAGCAGTTGTCAAGCAACAGAACCTATTAGAAGGTCTAGCCTCTGTCACTCAAACTCTGCCAGAAGCCCTTGAGCAAATTGCTACACCTCAGGCCTCAGAATTTCAAAGGATAGCTATGATGATCTCTGACTTGGATGATGCCAAAAAGGGGGAAGATGATCCCCAGCAGAAAAAGAAGCAACCTCCCAGAATCTCAGTTGGCCCTTCTACTGGCGTTGATCCAGCCCCTTACTTTCAGGTTTCCATTCAAAAGAAGAAAGAAGCTGCGGGTATGTCCAAGCCCTCCTCTTCGCCTCAAAGATACACATCCAAGAAGAAGAAAGCTCTAAACTTCAGAGAATGGAGATTAGGAGGTTCTCAGAGGATAGACAGAGCCCAATTTGAAGAGATTCAACAGAAGATGACCACTACTCAGCGACATAATCTCTACCTTGACAGAGATGGTCGAATAAGAGTCAGGCATGGTGGCTCACTAGAAGAAGCTGAGTACTGGTATCATAAGAGAATCCTTCCAGGGAAGGACATCCATGAAGGTGTCCTCAATTATCTTGACTGCAAGCTTTCACCTATCTGTGCCTCCTATCAAAGTTCTGGTAGTTTCACATAGATAAGAGCATAATTTAATGAAGAACTGAAAAGATTGAAAGATTTGGATGATCAAGTCAGGGCCGCAGCAGCAAGGGAAAACTTTTAAAGAAATTTCTGTACTTTATCCCTTAATAAAATCACATCTCTGCCTTTCACATTGTAAGGCAATTCATCCTTATCTGCTCCTATTTTCTGCTAATTTTGTCTGTTTTACTTACTCTGATAATTTCTGTTTACTTTGCTTTATTAATTGCTATCTCAATGTATCGTACTCTTACTATTTTCCTATGCTAAGTTTCCCACCAAGATTTTAATAAAAGTTTTTAACTTTATTCTTTTGTGGTGAAGGCACTTCTTTGGAAATAGTTAAAGGGTTTTGGCATCATCAAAAGGGGGAAATTGTAAGGAATAATTGTAATTAGATTTTGATGATGCTATAGGACTTTAGTGTATCCCCCCCCCCCCCCCCCCTAGAAAATTGTATTAGAATTTTCTTTGTATTTGTTTTAGTATAGTCGACTGACAGAAGACCTTTGGGTCTCTGCTAGCTCGTATCCAGACAGAAGATCACCTGGCTCTCTGTTAGATTTCACTAAGAGCAGAAACTGTCATGACCCTCTGTTAACTCGCCTCTTGACAGAAGACCTAAGGACCCTCTGGTAGCTAGTCAACCAGAAGTGCTCGAGACCCTCTCTGGTTGATCCACTACTGTAGACACCAGAAGGCCTGACACTTAGAGAATTTTCATGAAAGTACCCAATCCGGTGAAACCATCTGAAGATTCCTTCAACGGCTAGAAGACTTCAACGGAAAAGCGACAGTACGCGCATTAAATGCACATTTAATGCACCCCCGTACCCTGAAGAGTAAAAGCCGATGATTGGCCGACATTCCAGGACATTTCAGAATATCTTTATCCCAAAATAGTAACCCGCCAACTTTACCGGGTCCTACTGGTTAAGTCAACTTTTCGCTCATTTAATGCAGTTGTCCTCCTCCTGCAACGGGAAGACAACCCCAGTATAAAAGATACTACTTGAAGAACAACAAAATGCAACTTTGCAAAAACATAGAAAAACTCGTGCTCGATCAAATTATTCAAAAATTCAAACGCACAAGCCGTCTTGAGATAAAAACT